AGGTAAGTGGTAAAGTAATTGCCTATCATGCATAATGCCCATGGTTTAATTTCCAGTAGCATTAGTGGGGGAGGACTCTGGAGTGATGCCTGACCTCCATCTATGTGTGAGCTCAGAGAAATGGCACCTTCCATGACCTAGGAAGCAAGGCCTTGATCTTAGACTTTTGACCCTCTAAAACTGAGAGAAGTACGTTTTCTGTGTTTAGTAAGCACCATGGGTTAGAATGTTTTGTTACAGCACCACAGATGGACTGAGGCAAGCAGGAAATAGAATAATCAAACCCCCCAAACACCCTGCTCAGAATTCAGGATGTGGGGCTGTTATCAGCAGAGCCTGTCAGTATCTGTAGCCATGGTTGCCCGTAGAAACAGCAGTGAGAAGAACGTTGACCTCTTTTCTTCTCTGGAAGTCCCCATGGTCAACAGGACCTATTTCACAGTCAGAACCACGGCAGAGCAAGTCAAGGCTCATCAGAACACAGCACATGATGACTTAAGTGACTAGTCCCCAATGGGAAGGTCCATGGAAGGAAGGGAATTGGAAGCTGGATGCACCCTGGTCTTTCCTATGCCATAGGAACTGAGGAGACAGGCGGTATCAAGGACTGTGCCAGATTTCCTTCCTGCAGCTCATGTAGATGGAGGACCATTTCACTGAGGATGGGATTTGGGTACCTACAGGATTGCCAAGGGCTCTGTTACAACTGCTGCTCAGAAATGTTAAAACTTGGGAGGCATCTGCAGAGATTAAAAAAACAAACCACAGAGAATGAGTAGAGAGAAAAGAGGGCTTAGACAGGATGCCCAAAGAACACAGTGTCCAGGTGTTCTGCCGTGGATACAGACCCAGCCAAGTGAGACGAGAGAGGAGCAAAATGTGTCAAAGAAACTAAACAGGGAAGTCTGAATGGGTAGGAACATACAAGATGGATGTCTCTTTAAGCATTTTGCTAAGTGAAAGATGATGACTGAAAAGTTTCCTGTCATAGGACTCCACTGATAGGACCTTCTGGAAAGTGCACATATTAACCCCTAGTGGCCAGGATTTGGGATCTAGGGAGGTATTGATTATAAATATTCAGCACAAGGGACTTTGGGGGTGATAGAACTATTTTGTCTTGGAGTGTTATGGTGGGGGCATGACCTCATGCATTTCTAAAATTCAGAGAACTACACACCACAAAAAATGGAGACAGCTGACTGGCTGGGATGAATGGATGGATGGATGGATGGATGGATGGATGGATGGATGACCTTGACATGGGTGTCCTCCTTTTTATGGATTCATGTCATGTCCTCCACTCCCCCCCAAGTCAGCGGTGTCTTGCTCAGTCCACTGGTCACTGTCCCAGAGGCCTCCACCATCATTCAGTATAGTGCTTTGAATAGGTGGGGCCCCTATGGACCCATGCGTTTGAATGCTTGGTCTATAGGGAGTGGCACAATTAGGAGGTGTGGCCTTGTTGGAGAAAGTGAGTCACTGTGGGGGTAGGGCAGGCTTTGAGGTCTCATATGCTCAAGTTATGCTCAGTATGGTAGACTGTTTACTTCCTGTTGCCTACTGATCAAGATGTAGAACTCTCTAGCACCATGTCTGCCTGCACTCTGCCATGCTTCCTGCCATTACAATAATGGGCTAAACCTCTGAACAGTAAGCCAGCCCGCATTAAATGGTTTCCTTTATAAAAGTTGCCATGGTCATGGTGTCTCTTCACAGCAATAGAAACCCTAAGACAGTCAGTTGTTAACTTGCCCCATGCTCTGGGGCCAGGTATGCCACAGGGGTAGATGCCGGAGACTCAGCACCCTGCTTGACATTTGGTGTGGAGTAAACACTTGAGGTACAAGTGTCAACTCCTACTCTTTCAGGATAGAGGTATTCCCACATTAGTAGGCTTCTGCTTTCTCAATCGGTTTGGTGGTCCCTGAAAGTCAGGTCACCCTCCAAGATGCAGCCACTGTGCTCAAGGAGGCTCAAGATACACAGAATATTATCCAGCAGTTACCAGAGTGTAGCTTCACTGAGTGGCTGGTCTGGAAATGCCCACTGAATAAATTCATACATTTTGATGAACTGGCAAAAGTATAGCTTGAAAAGGACAATGCTGGCAGAAAATCACTATGTAGCTTTCTGTGTCTGCAGCAATGCTAAAGTGTTCCTTGGGGATTTCAAGTGGAAGTTTGTAGGTGCTGAAGGAATTGTGGATACTAACAGACCCAAGGCCTCTAGTGTCTCCCTTTCAATGCTCACGAATAGCAGGAGAGATCTCCCAAATGTCCTGGGTCTTGTATACATGCCAAAGCAGAATGCAAAAACAGGTAGATACTGTGTATAAGGATGCCTGAGTATGTCCATAATCAGTGATAGACAGTCCTTCTGGGGCCAGGGACCAAAGGGAAGGCTGCCTTTCATTGGGTTGCCTCCAGCTCCCTCCTCCTGGGCTCTGGAGGATACTGGGCTTCAGGGCCTGCAGACAAATCTCTCCTCCCCCCTACACCTGCCACCAGGGATTTCTGCAGCTTAAAAGCTTAGGTGTGACCTCAAAAGCCATGTGTGTCCCCTGCTGATCCCTCCCTCCTCCCCAGGGTGGATTGGGGGGGCAGTGAACCCTCTCAGACTTGCAAACCTCACACACTTGAGCATGGTCTGGGTTCTCCTCATCCTGGCAAGCTGGAAAGAGAAAGGTTTCCTCAGGAACCTGGGATGACACTGCTCCAGCAGGCAGGTTCTCCTGTGGCCTGCACAGCCCGTGGCCTGCTCTCACCATCTATGGCCTTTCTTCCCCACCCTACCCCACCCCACCCCTGCAAAGCTATTTTATCATCTCCTTTACTTTCACAAACCAAGGATACTCAATCAGCTGCAGCCATGGGGACAGAATGTGCTGGTAGGTGAACAGCCGTCAGGGTTACGCCTGTCTTACACAGAGTCTGTCAGGATCACACAATCAGCTTGCTAAGGTCACTCAGGTCCTAAGAGATAGACGTGTATCCCGAAAGCTCGACCCATCTGCTCTAAAGACAATGGACGCAGGCACAGGACGTGTCCGAAGGTCAGAGTTGTTCTTGGTGACAGGGTGAGAGTGACAGGGATTGACACTAGTGCCGTGCCAGCTTCTGGAGGGTTCAGTCCTGCAGCAGGGAGCAGTCTCAGCCAGTAGCCAATTAAGAGGGCTGGTATGGCCCTCTACCCACTGACGCCTTTACTGTGCAAGCCAAAGAATGCCATCTATATTCAACAAGCCTTGTGCTTTCACAGTACATTGTCGCTGAAGAAGCAGAGAGCCCTGAGGTTAGGTGACTCAACCACACAGCCCATAGGTAGGTGTATGAGTCTCTCTTCTGTGGCTGTGACAAAACATCACATCTGAAAGCAACTTAGAGAAGGATAAGGGAGATAAGACTCCATCATGGTTGAGGAGGCATGGCTGCAGGCAAGCATGGTGGCCAGAGCCGGAAGCAGAGACATCATAGCTCACCAATAAACATGGAGCAGCGTGCATGAACAGGGTGGGGCTCTACATTCTCAAAGCCCATCGGCCATGACTACTTCCTCCAGCAAAACTGCACCTCCCAAAGCTACCTAAACAAGACCAGCCAGGGATCAAGCATTCAAATGCCACCACCAAGGGGGATGTTTCTTGTTCCAAACACCAAAGATGAACCCAAAGCCGTGAATCCAGAGTCTTGGATTCTCTCACCCCGTCCCTTCTCTCTGTGAGGCTGGTACATGCACAGTTCAGTACCTATATCCCACAGTGGAAAAAGCTCTGAGCTGTTACGGGGGCCCATAACAGCTAGGAGCTCTACAGGTCACCTACTGATTTGCTGCCAAAACTAAGACTATGGGTGACATTCACGGTGCCCTGCAGCCTTCGAGCACTTAGGCGTGCACAGAAGGCAGCAGCTCTGTGCAAAGTCTCGTCACACCAGGGACAAAGCTATTTATATAATGCATAGCCCCATCCTGGCTGGAGGCCAGATGACCTGCCCTCCACCTCAGGAAAGCAGAGGTTTATTCTCCTTCTCAAAGATGCCCCAGGATTGTGCCAGTCACCAGCTCTCCTCACACTGGCTTGAGAACTGGGAAATGTCTTAAAATCTCTTGCAGAACCACGGTCTAAGGATCTGTGTGCTTCGAAGTCCCAGAGGTTTCCGCTTCCCGAAACAGAAGCCCAGCCACAGGGGCGCCGAGTCTCTTCCTCCACAATTCCCCATCTCCAAGTAGCAGAGGCAGGCTCTTCAAGTGGTAGCTGCCATTCTCTAATAAGAAGTTTGATTAGAAAAGAAAAAATACAAAGAAGGGAATGAAGACATTTTTCTTTAAGTACTTCTTGTACTGTCCAGGCTGTCTGGTGCCTGGATAGCTGCCAGGTTCAGTTTCTCATCAAGTGAATCTGATGTTGAGAAGTGAGATTTTGCAACATTTGTTTTTGGAGCTTAGGGCCACATTGTATTTACAGAGCAGGATTTCTGTCTGGGACATCTATTGGGTGCCTGCTGTGGACCAGCAATCTTGCCAGATACCTGAGGGCTGGCAACTGTGACAGCATCCCAGTAGCATGAGATAATGCACAGTGAGAAGGGACCATTCCTCCACGGGCTGTGGGCATTCTGAGGCAGATGAGTTGTCACTGGGCATATCGTGTCACTATCTGAAGAGCTCCTAAAGCCACCCTATTTCTCATCCCACCAGCAGCGTGTCTGTCTTTCATATTTGGCCATTCCAGTGTGTGTGGTGTGTGTTATGCTATCTTTCAAAGACACAAGACAGATCTCTCAATCCAGTTAGCTCTCAGGTGCTGGGATATCCATGGCTAATCCGGCAACCAGCATTCTCCTAAAAGCGTCAGTCTGCCCCACACTGAGATGCAGCTGGCCTCCTCTGTGGTCAGTCAGCCTGAAGCCAGGGATCCTGAGCTCCTTGGTGGACTGTGGGTGTCTGGTGGGTTTGCTGAAGGTGCTGCCTAACACCTACTGTCTCCTCTTCTCTTCCAGCGATTCACGAGTTCCCTACAGACCTGTTCTCCAACAAGGAGCGACAGCATGGTGCTGTCCTGCTACACATCCTCGGTGTAAGTGTCCTCAAGGGCCGGAAGCCACTACAGGAGCCTCATCTGTATAATGACCGTAGTATATAATGACTGTAGAACAGCTGTTCTCAACCTTCCTGATGCCGTGACATTTTAATACAGTTCCCCATGCTGTGGTGACCCCCCGACCATAAAATTATTTTGTTGCTGCTTCATGACTGTAATTTTGTTATCGTTGTGAGTCATAATGAAAATATCTGACACGCAACCCCTGAGATGGTTGCCCCTGAGGGGGTCGCAACTGTAGAGTGTCTGAGTGCTTATTTGATCCATGTGACAGTCTGGGAAGAAAATAGACACTAGGCTACCTTGTCCAACAAGAGGTTTTTCTTAACTGCCAGGTGTCACCTAGTGTCTCCACTCCCAGCACAAGGACATAGTTCTTTCCTGTGTCTCATTTTCTATTTTCATAAATTAGGGGTGATGGCCCCTGTGTACCCATCAGGGCTAGATGTCCACTGCATCAGACATGGTGCAGTCCACAGGTCCTCTGTAAATGCTTGCTGCCATAGCTCCTGTGATTGAGTTCCACTTTTCTCATTCTTCTTTACATTCAGATGAGATCCAGCACATTCAGGGCGGTTGGATTCATCGCCATCTCCATGTTCAGACAGAACCCTGATGGCAGGCAGTGGAGTTCAAGAGCAGCTTAAGTGGGAATAGGAAGTCAGGCCCTAAGTGTAGATTGCTGTTCTTGGACAGGACAAGTCCTAGCCCATGCCAGATTCCACCTCCCTACCTATTTTTGCAAAGGTTTGTTCATTTGTTTATTTATTTGAGATAGCCTCTTCTGTATGCTGTCTGACCTCAGACTTACTGTGTAGCTGAGGGTGACCACAAACCTCTGATCCACTCCCCACATCACCCACCCATTCTCTCACATGCGTCTCCCAAGTGCTGAGATTACAGGTGTCCAATTTATGTGGTACTGAGGATTAAACCTTGTGTATGCCAGGCAAGCAGTCTACTAAATGAGCTACAGCCCCAGCCCCTTCATGAGTAAAGTCTTTTATTAGAACACAGTCAGTCCATTCATTGCTGTGCTCTCGGTGGCTGGCCTCGAACTCGCAGAGATCACCTGCCCACCCCCCTCCTGAGTGCTGGGATTAAAGGCATGCGCCACCACTACCTGGCTTCTGTGGCTGCTTTTGGACTTCAGTGGCAGGACTGAAACGCTGCATCTGAGTACATGGTCTACAGAGCCCAAAACACTCTCTGGCCCCTGTGGGAACCAGTGGGAGATGCTGTTGAATGGTTGCCAGGAAGTGAGACTGGTCACAATTGGCTTTTTTTTTTATGTTTTTCTTCAAATCAGCCCCAGCAAATTTCCTCCTGCTTAGTAATAGGGCTGCCCAGTGCTGTCTGCTTATAAATTTAAATCCAGCCAACCGCTAGTCTTTTTCTAGACATAATTTAATTCTCTGACGGAGAACAAGAACAAGAAGATGACGAATGAGTGAAGTTGTGATTGGCACGATAAACCACTAATGAAAGTGGTGGTTAGAATGGGGACCGTGGGCAAATTTGAGCTGTGGGTCTGCTGTTATTCCTAGGATGGGGTTATTACCTTTCAGGCGCCCTGGTTTTCCATCCCCGGTTACTGGGGGATGCAAATTTGGCAGGTTTTCCCCATGTTCTGTGGCCCTGCCCTATGAACAAAACCTGAAAATTTGGGAATTTGGCAAGAAACCTGCAGAGTGGTAATTACCAAGGTAAGACTAGAGGACCGAACCCAAACCATTACTTGATTTTATGAATAAAGTTTTATTAGAACACATGCACACCCATTCCAGGGCTGCTTTGGTTTTGTAGAGACCATTTGACCTACATAGGCTAAAATATGACTCCCTCCCTACTTCATGTGTGTGTGTTAGTGGGTCTCTCTCTCTCTCTCTCTCTCTCTCTCTCTCTCTCTCTCTCTCTCTCTCTTTCTCTCTCTCTGTATGTGTTTGCGAGTCCATGTCTACACATGTCTACACATGCTCATACATGCTTATGGAGGCCAGAGTTCTATAACCAGTGTTTTGCTCAACTGGGTTTTACCTTATTTTTTGAGATAGCATCTCCCACTGAACCTGGGCTTACCAATTCAGCTAGACTGGTTGTTCAGCAAGCTCTGAGAGCTCTCCTGTCTCTACCTCCCCAGAGCTGGGGTTACATGTGTCACTGCGCCCACTTTTTACATAGGTGCTAGGGATCTGAACTCAGTTCCTTAGGTTTACACATGAAGCACTTTGCCAACTGAACTGTCTTCCCAGCTCCCCTCTTCTATTTTTGAAATAGGTTTTCACTATGTAGCCCAGGCTGGCCTGGAACTTTCGATTTTCCTACCTTAGTTTCCCGAGGACTGAGACTGTAGGCACGTGCCACCCTGCCCAGCTCCAAATCTGCATTTCTTACTCTGTGACAGTTCTAGGAGAAAGTACAGACCGGTGTGACCTGGATTTATGACTGTCTGCCTCTCAGCATTCTGTTTTCCCGTTTGAGGCCTCCGTTTCCTTGTCAGGGAGGATATGGAGAGAACAATTCTCCATTGCTGGGGCTTCCCGCGTGTGCTTCTGCCGGAAGCCTGGTGTGGGAACTTCACTGAAACCAGCTTTCCCTTCCCAGGCTCTCTACATGTTCTACGCCCTGGCCATCGTGTGTGATGACTTCTTTGTCCCGTCCCTAGAGAAGATCTGTGAGGTACGTGGAAGGACCTGGAACCCTCCCCCAAGCCCTTCGTGACTAGGAGCATCTGTTGTATAGATGACAAGGACAAGAAGGTTGGAATAGGACAGAAAGCACTCTGGTAGAGCAGACCATCATTTGGCTACCTAGTGCCACACCAAATCAATGTCAGTGATGGCATCCTATCCCAAAGCTCAGCAGAAGACATGGGCTCTGTGAAGTCACCCTCCAGGCCATCATACTCTAGAAAGAGAGGTGTTCAACATTCCTAATGCTTTGACACTTCAATACAGTTCCTCAGGTTGTGGTGACATTCCCCCCCCCAACCATAAAATTATTTTTGTTGCCACTTCATAGCTGTAATTTTGCTACTGTCATGAATCGTAATGTAAATATCTGCTATGGGACTCCAAGGGGTCGTGACCCATGGGTTGAGAACCACCATTCTAGGAGCCATGGGGTGTGAGCCAAATCTGGCCAGCCAGGAAACAGGCAAGCCTGTGGCTACATTGGCACATTTCCCACAAACCATAGGTGGCAGTCCCAGAGAGGATCTGTGCTCCCTAAGAGTTCCCCTGGGTGAACACTGAGCCATGGTGACAGGTGTCCCCGTGTACATAATGTTCTCACTCTAGCTATTCGGTTCCTTTGTTCCCCCTTTCCCATATGTAAGACCCCGAACTCCTGAGCTCTGCCTTGCTTGTAGCTTCTAATCAAGTGGAGGGGGGGATACTTTTATTTGCAGCACTTACCAAGTGCAGCCCTTTAGGGATTTGCCACTCCCACCCTATGAAGTCACCCAATTCTTTGAGGTCATATTTTCCAGATGGGGACAGATGCCTGCCCTCGTTTCAACTTGTTTCTTAGCACAACCAGGGGAGTGCTGCGTCACTGCACAGTAGGGAATGGCCGCTTTAGAACCTGGGTCCCCCATATTGTGAGCTTTCCCTCCAGACTCCTCCCTGCCCTCCCCCATGAATCATGGGAGATTAGTGCAGCAGGATGAAGGCTGGGGGACAGTGGTTCCCACAAGGATGCTGTGGCTGCTCTGGAAACTGCCCCCACCTAAGAAAAATTCAGCCATGGCCCTAACGTATGTGAGTTAGATCTTTGTCTCTCTGACAAGACACCTGACATAATAATTTAAGAAAGAAGATACTTACCTAGGCTCATGATTTCAGGGGTTTAAGTCAGCCAGCTACATTGTTTCTAGGCTGTGATGGGGCAGACACCATGGCAGTGAGGTTTGATAGAACAAAACTACTCCCCTCATGGTGGCCAGAAAGAGACACAGAGAGATGGGTGTTGAAGACAAATCACTACCCCAAGAACACACCCCTAGCAACCCACTTTTTTCTTTAGGTCCCACCTCCAAAAGTTTCCAGTGCTTTCAGATAATATCATCAAAACTATGACTCCATTGGTGACTTAATCCACTGATGAGGACGGAGCCCATATGATCCAGTCTCTTCCCAAAGCCCAGCTCTGAACACTGCTGCGCTGGGAACCAAGCCTTTAACCTAGGAGCCTTTTAGGAAATACCTTGTATCAGACTAATGTATGTGAGCACAGGCCACTCCCTGGGTGATAGCTTTGGAAACCCACAACAATAGGGTTGAGAGTAACCCATGGAAAGTCGGCTAGGGCTGCAAACATTGAGGGTGTCAGTGCATCAGGGTCGCCTGTGGCCTTAAGGACAGAGGGATGATTGAGGGTGTTGGTCTTAGTCCTCTTTAAGTTGCCTTTGATGACAAGGAAGCTAGAGGGAGAGGATGTCACTGTTGGGGAGAGGCCTAGGAAGACTTTTGAGAGGCGATGACGTTTGTCCAAGCTGGGGAAGTGGGGAGTATTTCCAGCAAGCACAGGGGAGAGAATTCTAGGAAGAATGATGTAGGCCAAGGCCAGGAGGTAACAGAAGAGCGGGCAGCATGGCCTCAATCCTGGAAAGGTGGCTGCAGATGCTAAGTGAGGCGCCTACCTCCTCTACAGACTTTTCTCTTTGGCGGCATTGAGGTGAGTGGACTTGGAAAGCAGAGCTATGTCCCTAGTCTGTATCAAGGCCAGAGCTCTGACCCTTTTATATCTAGCTGACCAATGGGGAGGAGATGCTGGACCCAACCTTCCTGCAGGGCTCCAGAGCCCAGACCACCTAGGGCTACCTAGGAGTTCCCTGTCTTCCATTTTGGATCAGATGATGGGCCTCAATGGCCGGAATGTGGCCTTGCTGAGCACCATGGACTCTTACAAAAAGCTCCTAGCCTTGTCCCATGCCAGCTTAATCCTGGAGACAGGCCCTCTGGGTGTCTGAGACTCTGTCTAGATGCTGGGCTTGCCACAGAGAAGCATCCAGAATGTAGGAAGCAGGCATGTATTAGGGTTCAGATCCCACAGCCTTGGGACAGCTTCTAGACCCTTATTGTGTACCAGTGCATACTCCACCCTGATCTAGGCTCTAGGGACCCACAGGTGGCAAATGCCAGCTTGGCCTTCATGGTCCAGAGGGAAGGTAAGTGTGTGTACTACAAGGCAAAGCCTTGCGACAGTATCTGTTTCTATGAGGCATCTGAGAGGGTGTGGCTGCCTCTACAATTGTGGGGAAGACTTCTTCAAGTGTCATCAACAGGGATCTAGAAGTGTAGAAAATGAAGAGAAAACAGATGGGCATGGGAGAGAGTTGAAGTCTGGCAGAAGGCATAGGGTATGTGCTTCAGGAGAAGAGGCTACGGCTGCAGAGCTGGGCTCAGAGCAGTACTGTGCCCCTGAGAGCTGTCTGCTGCCTACCAGCCCAGTGACTGTGTCCAACCCACCCTTGACACACCCAGCCCCAGTTACCTGTGTTCTCTCTTGTTTCAGAAACTTCATCTGAGTGAAGATGTGGCTGGTGCCACCTTCATGGCTGCAGGAAGCTCAACACCAGAGCTGTTTGCTTCTGTCATTGGTAAGGACAGCAGGCAGCTAGGACACAGTGCAGAGAGAGCCGGGGTTTGTTGTGGGCCGTTTACCAGCTCTGAGACTCAGTTTCCCCGCCTGTAAACCCAAGGAGTCAGAGGTCAGGAAGTAGGTGGGTGGTTTCTTAGAGTATGGGGTTCTAATGGGTACTGGGCTTCTTATGAGATGAATATGCTCTAAAATTAGATTATGACTTTTGTTGTAAAAAATATGTGGTTCTGCCAAACTGCTGGACTGCGTCACTAGACATGTTAATTATGCCTCAATACAGTTATTTAAAAACATGGGCTCTGGTCATTGAGATGGCTCAGCCAGTAAAAGTGCTTGGCCTGCAAGCCTGAAGACTTGATTTTAATCACCTAAACCAAAGGAGAGAACCCACCACTGAAAAATGTCCTCTGACTGCCACACATGTGTCAACACACACACACACACACACACACACACACACACACACACACACACACACACACACCCCATACCTATGATAATGATGATGAAGAGGAGGGTGCATTTACTTTGATTTAATAGCAAAGCGTAAGTCCATAGGAGGAGCAGCTTCCTAGGGCTCCACTGTCTGGCTTAGCCATTGTCTTTTTCTCATTCCAGGTGTGTTCATCACCCATGGAGATGTTGGTGTGGGGACTATTGTGGGCTCTGCTGTGTTTAACATCCTATGTATCATTGGAGTATGTGGACTCTTTGCTGGACAGGTCAGTGGATTTTTTTCTTTGCCTGCCTGACCAGTAGTACCCTGTAGGGTGAGCTTCTGAGATGCTTGGAGTAGCAATGAGGACACCCTGATGAGGCTAGCCATACCACTTATCTACGTTGACCTCCAAACCCATGTCCTCCCCATACAGTGGCCTTGACACTCCTCCCCTTCCAACAGCTTGAGAGCCTGAAAGGCTAGAGCCATGTTTGGGGACCTGACCAGTTTATGGTGGGCATTTATGCAACAGCAGCAGCTACTTAGGAAGGATCTCCTTGGACCCTGGTTGGAGCCATCTGGGCTGCTTGCCTACAGGCACAAGGCTAGCTGCGGTCAGAACCCATTTGATACTAGGTCAAGAGTCTCAGGGAATGTTAGGTTTGCCTTTCAGTGGGAGATCATGGCAAGGCCCTACCTTGCTCGGGATGACAGAGATAGGCAGCTGATGGGCATGGTGATGCTTTTTATCTCAATATTAATGGCCAGTTCTTGCTATGGCATGTGCCTGGCCACTACCACAGAGCAGAACAGTTTCTGGGTTCCCTACACCTGAGAACTTTACTTGGTTCTGTTGTCTTTACAAGCTGTAGCCATGAACTAGAGGTAACTGGGAAGCCACCCCAAGGCCTTCCTCTCTCTGGGCAGCTGGCCCCATTCCCAGCCTTTAGGCAAGAGCAGCTGATAACTTCTCTCTGACCTGGCAGGTGGTGCGGTTGACATGGTGGGCTGTGTGCCGTGACTCTGTGTATTACACACTCTCTGTCGTCGTGCTCATTGCGGTGAGTCACCCCAAACACCCCCAAGTGTTGGGTGGCCAGGGCCTCGTGAAGGCACATGTGCCTGCCTGTCTGTTCTTGACCCTATGACAAGAGAGGTCACAGCACCAACAGTGGAATGTGTTAACCCCACTCTCAGTGTTCACACTGGCCCCTCACACCTCTTCCCACACTGTGCCTCCCTTTCTAAAGACCTCAGCCTTGGGATTAAATCCAGGAGCATTTTGATGATGAAAAGCCTTGGACAAAACAAAATATAAAGTGGAAGTTCAAGCATGTGCTCACATGAGGCTCTTCCGACACTGAAACCCACCCACTCTTCAGACCGACTTCTAGGAAACAGGCTTCAAGCTGGGCAGTAAACCTAGATACTCAGGCACAGTGGCTGGAGGATCACCAGCAACACCAACCTCGGCAATTTGGGACAACTATATCTCAAAATAAAAACTATAAGAATGTGCAGATGCAGCTCAGGGGCCGAGTGCTAGCCTAGCGTGTGAAAGAAAGGACCTGTATTCAGTTAATAGGAAGAAGCAGGTTTCTGGGTTCTGTGACACTGCAGAGCGGGAGAGGGCTACCTCAAAGCCATCACTGGGCAGCTGGGAGCTGGGGACAAGAAAAAGGGTGAAAAGGCAGAGGTGTCAAAAGAGGACCCCAAGCAAGTTAGTGTGGAATGTGTCCCCTCAGGCCCCAAGAGCTGGGATGGCATTGTGGCCCAAACAGTAAAGTGCACTATCATGTCTGTGCCATCCATAGGGGTGCAGTTTAGGTTTTTATAGCAGTGCACAAGGGCAGATGCCTGTGGCATGATGGATTTCAAGGAAATGTGTGACAGTTTTCTATCTTTCCAGACCCAGGGGTATGACTACCCTTATATTAGTTATCTACTACTTTGTAACAAAATTCCTCCAGAGCTGGGCATGGGTGGGGCACACCTGCAGTCAAGGACCAGAGATAAAGTACCTGAGAAGCTAAGGCAAGAGAAATGTGAGTCCAAAGCCAGTTTTGGCTATTTTAGTAAGATACTGTCAAAAAGAAAGAAAGAAAGGAAGAAAGAAAGAAAGAAAGAAAGAAAGAAAGAAAGAAAGAAAGAAAGAAAGAAAGAAAGAAAGACATTCCCCAAACCTAACAGCTTAAGACAGCAACCATTGACCCCTTGAGTGAGAAATCTGGGGGTGTCTGAACTAGGAAGAGAAATGGTCTCAGGTCACACATTCAGGTGAGCACCCTCTTCAGGAACACTCTGGTAGCTGTCAACTAACCTCAAGGCTTAGCAGGTCATCCCACAGTGGGCAGTGTAGTTTGCGAAGCACCTGCCTTATTATAAAAGTGAGGAGGTGAGAAGGTCAGGTTACAAAAAGGCTGTGGCTTCCACCTTAGAAATGGCCAGAGGCAAGTCAGCAGCTCCTCCTCCCCATGTTCAGAGAGAGCATAGGTATCAGTGAGATGACTGAGGCCAGCTCCAAAACTGCCCTCCACACTCAGAAAATGACATAGATAGGGGAAACAAGATAGCTATGTGAGATTTCAAAAAATAAATCCACAGTATACTAAATAAACCATAAATGGGCAATAAAAATAACTCATAAAATACTGACGTTCTTTTGGTAATCATTTTGGCAGAAAGTCACTGGAATATCCAATGATGTCATCTGCTGCCCATCCAGAAACTCTCCCAGCCCACTACTGCAAAGGCAGACTGGTGCCAGTGTTTGAGTGGTACTCTTCTCCCCGCTGTGAAGTGATTTCCCAGACAATGAATTATTCCTCATAAAACTCTAAAATGACCAAGGAACATTCTTCAGTTTTCATAAGAATAAATTTTCCTAGTTGTGAATTAAATATCCACTTTAAACACTTGGATTTATACAATAGAGTCAAAGTCACGGTCGTGATTTTTCTACTACCTAAATATTTGTTGTAATGTATTTACTATCTTTGTTATACATTTTGTATTTCTCATCCCAAATGTGAAAAAACTTCACAGTGTAGAACTGTCTCCATGTCTTATTCACATCACATTCTTGCTGTCATTGCCTATAAATGCCAGTAGCCCTCCTTTGAGTATATAAGCTAAAACTGTCCTCATAAAAGCTTCTCAGATCCTTCCTCTCCCTATGTTGAGTGACCTTCCTCAGAGCCTTGGGTCCAAAAGGCTCCCAATGATGTCTGGCTAGGGAGTTTGAAGTGGCTTCCTAAAGCAGGGCCTGTGTGTGCTGCCCATTGCAACCAACAGTAGACCCCAGCCTAGACAAAGCCCCCAGCCTCTCCTGGTACCATATATAGGGACCCTTTTGTTTTCATGGTCAGGTTGCTGGGAGCATCCCTGCCGCCTCCTCCTACACTGGACTAAACCCCCTGCCTTGGCCACAGAGCATCCTTCATTTGTGTCTTGTCCCAGGGATGCTGGATAGGAGGTGTGTTAGTTGGGGTTGTGAGAAAAAAGAACCAATAGGAGACTGATGGGGTGATAGGATAGATTGAGAGGTGGATGGATGGACTGATGGATGGGAGGATAGATGAATGGATGGATGGACTGATGGACTGATGGATGAAGGATAGATGGATGGATGGATGGATGGATTGATGGACTGATGGATGGAAGGATGGATGAATGGATGGATGGACTGATGGATGGGAGGATAGATGAATGGATGGATAGAGATGTATTGGGGTCAAGTGATCTTGATCATGCCACCTGCAAGCTGAAGACCCAGGGAACTCAGTAACATAACCCAATTGTAAGCTAAAGGCTTGAGAAACCATGATGCCACTGGCGTGAGTTATAGAGTTAACAAGCTGGAAAACATGGAAGAAGAAATGGGGTCATTTTTACCATCCTCTGGCCTTTTTATTGAGTCCTCAGCTAATTCAGTGGTATCTACTCATAGTGAGGAAGGGTAGATCTTCCTTTCTCAGCCCACTGATTCTAACGCCAGTCCCTTCCATGAACACTCTCACAGACATACCAGAAATAATACTCTACAAACTATCTGGGTATCCCTGAAGCCAGGCAAGTTGACACTTAAGATTAGCCTATGTGCTGAATGACGTCATTGTCCATCTACCACTTATCTGTGTAGACACAGGTGTATAGCTGTCTTCTCTGCATTCTCTTGAATTTTAGCAACTCTGTTCTTGTAGCAAGGGAAGCTCCTGCCAGGTCTGCCCCAGCAACACAGGCCGCCTCTTGGGATGACCACACTGAGCTGGTGGGCAGGAGCACATGCATGTTGCATCTCAGCTGCTGTAAGTTCCCACTAAGGAAAGGTCACCTTCTATGGTTGAGCAACTGGGAAATGCAGAGATCAAAGGCCAGGTTAGATCCAGGTGCTTTGGAGCCTGCACTTTTCTTCCAGTGGACTAAGTGTATCCCTTTGTTCCCTTTGCTTTCTAGTTCATATACGATGAGGAAATTGTGTGGTAAGTTTTTAACATTTTTGTTGTTAACTGCCAGTATCTGGGTATGTTGGGTTGCCAAATCACTTTCAGATTTATTTTTGCAAACAGAGATTTGCTAGCTTATGGAAGTGATGGGGCTGTCATTCTAAGTGGCCTTGCCTTTGTCCTATTAGAGTGACAAGAATCGTTTCCTCCAAGGTTCCTGCCCAGCCTACTATCAAGATGCATGTAAAACTAAATTAATGAGGGCAGTCATACTTTACACGAAGATAAACAAGAATGAGAAAGGATCTGGTCATGGGTCAGTTTATGGGGGAGAGGTATCAGAGGTGCCCTGGCAAGGCAGTGAATAAAGGGTCTCAGATGGCACCAAGACAAAGGCATGCCACGAAGATCCCTCCCTTGTGACTTGTAGAGTAATCAAGCTCAGGGGACTTAAAGGTCTTACTATAAAAACCACGGAGCTGGTAAATACCTGCTTCACAAGCAGTGGGGATCTGAGTTCAGATCCCCAGCACCCACATAAAAAGCCAGGTTTGGGGACACACATCCTAATCCCAGCACTGGCGAGGTGGAGACAGGAGATCCCTGAGGAGTTCTCTGCCATCCTGTCTGGCCAAATCAGTAAGCTCCAGTATCAGTAAGAGAGCCTGTCTCAAAAGTTAGGTGGAGAATGATTGGGGGAGACCCCCGTGTGGGTGTGCATTTATATGTACACATATGTGCACATGTACATACATATATCACATACATACACATCAAAACTAGCAAATTTAAAAAAATAATTTTTACAAGAAAATACTTTGTGACGTGGAATAGGAATTGACTTTCTTTTTTAATTTTTCTTTTTAATTTTTGGAATTGACTTTCTTGAATGAGATTCATACAGTACGAACCTATTCTGAGACTAGGTTGATTCTTCTACCTACTCCGTGGGGTTTGTTGGCATCTCAGTTTGTATGCCACACAATTGCCTGGTCATTGGCATGGTCCACAATAAGCATCCTATAGGTGACAACTTCTGAGAACACATTCAGATGGCCGCTGAGAAGAGCAATTGCTTGACAAGAGTAGCTTCATTCCCAGTACCCAGAAAGCCCTGGTTAAAGGCCACTCCTAGTCTCATTTCTTTAGCTGTGGATGGGTTGTGATGGTCATACTAAGATGATCTGTCTGTCCATTTCAGGTCTGTGAGCTGCATATTAACAAGGGATGGGCTCCCAAGATGACTGGCCAAGCCCAGTGTGCACACTGTCAGAGAAGCAAAAGCTGTGTGGCTTCTCATGTTTATGGTCACAGATATAACCTCACTCTCCACACACATAGCTTGTGGGGTTGGGCTGTATCCACAAGACAGCAGCAATAGAATTTTCCCAAAAGACAATAACCCCAGAGGCTTCTATGCCCCATCATGCCCCATGCCCAGGGACTGGGCCTTTTCCTGCCTGCTCCCATAGCCTCTCTGGTCCCTGAACAGACTCCTGAGTGGGCAGGCCTAGGTTCTCTTAAGGTTAAGGCCATGGGATTTGTCATCTGGGGGTGGAGCTCTCCTGAGTCCTGTAGACCACTATGATTGAGAAGACCCAAGCCCAGCCTTCTCTCAGTTACCAGGAGGACTGTCAATGATTAAACAGCCCTATTCTGGGGTGTCCCACCTGAGTCCCTGGGACGGAAAAATGACGGTATCCCAACTGGCCACTAAGCTTGACCATGCAGCCCCCACCTGTGGGAACCATGGCTTCCTGCACTCTAACCACACTCTCCTTTATCTCTCCAAGGTGGGAAGGCCTCGTGCTCATCATCTTGTACGTGTTTTATATCCTTATCATGAAGTAAGTGGCCTCTCCCCTTCCTCAGGACATGGAGGTACCTTTCCCTCCATATCCCAATCAAGTCTTTGGTCAGAACAGGCAATGTCCTCCATCCCATCTTCCAGTTCCTTTGGGGCAACCTTCATTCTCTAGTGACATCATTCAGGACATCTAGGGTGGGGATCTGGCTCAGACAGGTTAGGGGACAATGCTGGGTGGCTGATGAAGGGCAGATTCACTCCAAAAATGAATCCCCAGCAAGGAAGGAGCAGTGTCCCTGCCTGCCCTGGGCAACTCCTCTGGCCCCAGGGTAACCAGCCTTTTGCTGTTTCGATAAGTCTAGTAATAATACCATTCTCAAAAGTCCCATCAACTTAACCTCTGCCCCACACTTTAGCAAATGCCACTTGTCAGGGCCACTGCTGATCCCAGCAACAGAGCTCCACTCGTAATCCTGGGACTACAAGCACTGTGTTTTGGGTTAAGAAACCTTAACCACTTGGAAACTGCCTCAGTCTGAACCAACTTAAAACTACCAATGAGGAAGACTAGACAGCCACAAAGATGACATTCTGACACTTGATTCAGTATGGATAAACCTTTAAAAGCTCACCACAAAGAAGCAATCATTCCCAAAAGACCAATATTATATATAATTCAGCATTCTCATGGTTCCCAAAGGGTCAAGTCCGTGGAGACACATAGATTAGAGGCTGGAGTGGTGGAGAGTGATTAGTGGGTGCTGGCTTGCTGTTGGAATGATTAAAAAGTTGGAGAATTTTATTAATAATGATTGTATAATAATAATTTTAATCAATATCACCAAAGCGTGTTCTTAGAACATAGGAAATATCTATAGTGATAAATTATATATATATATATAAACATACAATACATATGTATGTATGTACATTTGTATATATATAATTCTACCCAAAACATAACTATTTATGAATATTCATGAGCCTAGCTACTTGCAGGTTTCACTTCTCTCATGTAACTAAAGAGAAAGACAACATCACAGGTGTTATGAGGGTCCTCGCCTTTATGTAAAACACAGTATTATGTAAATATTTCACAAACCATATTTTCTAAAGTGGAAGATTAAAGTGTCCAGCGGCACGAGAATTCTCCAGTGACTGCCCATCAACAGCTTATAGCCAACAGAGAGGCTTAGAGATGGAGATCCCCTCTTCTCTCGGGATGTCTGTGTTGACACAGGAGGTAGATGGTCACCAAATACCCCACTTGAGCAACAGTTGTTTTCTGGGGAGGGAAAAGGCATGGTGGTGATGCTGCCTTGGAGCCCATCCTGTCGGTTGGGCTGAATGGCTTTTATGAGGATAAGCTTGCAAGAGGCATTAAATGCCTTGGCTGTAAGGCCTCTGACACCCCCAGGAGGGCACTATAGCTCAATAGAAACAGGTGTCTCTAAACTGTACATGATCCCAACGTTCCTGCCAAGAAACCCCTCCAGCTCAGTTGGAAAGCCTCCCGGGTTACCATCCATGCCCTGCACCCTGTGACTGTGTGCCTGGTGCCCCACCCACCTGGTAGCGTGCAACCCCTTCACTGCTCTGACCCCCTCCCTTACCCGACTCACAGGTACAATATGAAGATGCAGACGTTTTTCACAACCAAACAAAAGAGCATTGCAAATGGTAACCCAGTCAGCAGCGAGCTGGAAGATGGTAATGACCTCTATGATGGTAGCTATGACGACCCTTCTGTGCCATTGCTGGGGCAAGGTAAGGCTGAGCAGACAGGAGCTGTGGACCCTTATGGGAGCCACTCTTCAGACACACACACACACACACACACACACACACTCACACACACACACACACACACACACACACACACACACACACACTGCCCTGTTACCATCAACCTTTAGTCACGCACACCCCAAGTGAGGAAAGAAGACCCACATTTGAGATATTGCTCAGATTGACAGTCACTTAGATGAGAAAGGATAGAAGGGAGAAATTCCCATAAAAGAAAAAAATACATGAATTAAATCATAGAAATCTTCCCATGCTTCCAGAGGCAGGTGGGAAACCTAACTGACTTTAGAGATGCAATGTTGTTGCCCAAGAGAACAGTCTAGAATAGGAAACTTAAGTGACAGAACCCAGGCCTCCCTATGCATCTCAAGTGCTAGGCCCTGTCCCTGAAAAATCCATCCTAGAAAGTGTCACCTCCTATGCTTGCAAACACTTGCCTGAAGGGGCAGACTCGGAGCTTCACAGGCAGCCCGGCCCAACCCAGAAGCCTGCTTGGAGGTCTATTCCTGAAAACAGCCTCATTGCCCTAGCTCCTCTGGGACCCTGGAGCCTCTGGACCAAGGTCCTGTATTCTTGGTCACAGCCTTTGAATTGTCTTGATCTAGTGCTACTTCTTTGGAAATATCCTCAATTCTCAATAATCCAGCTAGTTGTCAAGTCACCCCCACCATGGGACAGCTGCCCATCCAGATCAGCATTAAAGCCTGAAAGGCACTTGTGTTAGGAAAAAAGGAAATCCAGGGCTATGTGGCATCCTTGGTCCTCTCTGGGCATCCTCCATATTTATTCCTCAATGGCCCAGGCAAGACTCCATGTTTCATAGGGACCTTTAACTTGCTTGTCGTATCATAAGTGGCTGGTCTCAGAGGCTCTCCTTGCCTGTGGTGGTAGCTAAGGAATCTGTGATCTTCAGTAGCCTCTGTCCCAGGCAGAGCAAGACCGAGTTTCCTCTCAGATGCATTTTGCACAAGAGTCCTCCTGTCCTGTCTTGGGTTTTCCCAAGAGGAAGGCACTTGTTACCGATGCTCTGCTGAGTCACACATCTTTCTGTGTGAAAGGAGGAAACCCACTGAGACAAGAGAGGGACTTCAGTTTTGGGAGACCCCACTCTAGCCACTGGAGACACATCCATGAGGGGCAGAACCAAGGAAGGCTATATCGTGGAGATGAAGGTGTTACACATGGCATTTCATAAATTCCCAGCAGGCAGCACAGGGGGAGGCTCCAACATTGGCCATGGTTTGGTATTTAACCTCCATAGTCACAGGGACTCTGGAGTACCCATTGCAGGTCCCAATGTCTGGCAGGAGAGAGGCTGCCCTGCTCAGCACATAAGTGCTACCAGAAGGTCCTTTGGACCTTGAGAGCAAAGAAGAAAGATCTGAGTGGAGAATCAGTATGTGCCCACTTCCTGTGTGTCCTGAGGCTGGTAGTGAATGCCCAACCCCAGTGCCCTGTGAGAGCCACTCCTCCCATGTATGGGATCCTCAGCTCTAACTTTTCCAGGAAGGCCGGGCTCCCCAAGCCTGCTGCCTGAGTGCACGGCCCTTTTCTGGAGCTCTGGGGTGACTCTCCATACCTTTTGTGCCCAAAGACATTAGGACTTCGTGGATTTAACACCACCATCACTATGTCCAGGGTAGCTTCTAGAAAGTTGGAAGACTGGACACAGAGCTGTCCCAGATACTGGGACTGAGGGAAAAGCAAGTGTCTTATCCCTTATTAAATAGATGCATTTATAGGTGAGGTCCTGGGAGGAAAGGATCCCAGAGGGTTGGATAATGAGCCTGGGCCTTGATTTCTGGGTTTGGAGGGGTCTCCGCCTAGATGTGTGCACTCAGGGGCTGCATCCAGTCTTTACTTTCCCCAGAAGACACTCCCTGGGCCTATTTGCAAGTAGCTACAGAATAATTTCCGCTGGATAGAGTGGGAGGAAGAGATCCCAGTGACACCCCAGGCCTGAGATGACCAGGACTTCCCACTTTGGCTGTCTAACAATGTTGCCACTGCAGGAGATAACATTACTTCCTTTCCCCCATCCTCAGCCTCCTGGCAGGTGGCTCTCCAACCACACCACAGAAAAGGATGTCTGTATTGCCTCATGACGTTTCCAAGAGTCCCTTAGGCTGGGCTTGTAGCTCAATGATAGGATGCCTGCCTGGCACGCTCAAGCCTCTAGGGAGAATAAGTAGGAAATAAACTGTTCACCCCAACCTACATTTCTCATATAAAATCTAAAGCTTGAAGCTTGGCTTCTTTGTAGGAGAAGCAGGAAGAAGCCCTTTTGTACTTAAATATTCTTAGATACCATGTATCTCAGGTCACTGCTTCAGCATTCTGACTGGTTCCCTGGGGGCCTTGTCCACAGTCTTGAAGCAAGGTCTACCTGGTCACTGGGTGCCATATTGGATGAAGCTGACGTAGCTCAGAGAGCTCCCCGGGGGACCTTCCAAGCTGCCCTGGTGTTAGACACAACCTAAGTTTAGAAGGAGACAGGAGGGGGGATGCTGAGCCTTGGGTGGAATTGCCAGGAAAACATCTTGCGGCTGAGTGCCCCTTTGCCTACCACTCTTAGCTTGGGCATGATGGGGGACAAGTCCTGGCTCCTGCCTCACGGGCTCCACAGGCTTTTGAGACCAAGTGTTCTGCACTGGGTATCTGGAATGAGGCTGGGGTGCAGTACCTGCTACAGGGGCTTGCTGGTGCCCCTCCCTCTGGCAGCCCAGAGCACCGAGGCTCCCTGTGGAAGGAGCCTGCTACTAACCCCCTCCTTCATGTAACCCTGGCAACCCTACCACCAGCAAGAGCTCTGCCCCCAGATTCTGCCGCCGCACGCTAACCCACCTGTGGCCATCTGTGCCAGCCTCTGTGTCCTTAACTCTTCTTCTAAATTGTAAGTAATCTGCTCGCATCCTGGCCATAACACACGCTTTTAAGCAATAAACACAATCCATGAGCCAAGCCCCACACTGTCTGCCTCTGTGGAGGTTAGTGTCCAACTTGGACAGGCACATGGGCCTCCAGCTGTTTCTAATTCACCTGCCTCCTGTCTGCTGAGCCTTGCTGCCTGTGTGGGGTGTAGTGTCTTTGCCGGGCGGGACGGAGCGGGGTGGGGCAGGGCGGCTGTTTGCTGTGCATTTTGTGCGTTTTTATACCATTAACTTCTGCATGAGTTTGCCCTCTGGACCTACTCCTTAGTCACTCAACTCTTCACACGGGACGCCACAGAATCTGGTAATGGGTGTGGAGGAACATCCTACCTGTTTTCTTAGCATATTTTAGGATATGCTATTTGCTTCAGGATGCTGTGTTCATGAGTGGTTTGATTATTTTCCCTGGTACCTGGAGGGTCATGCCAAGCTCCTGTGGACACCAGCACAGGACTAGTCCTTATGTTCTATCTCCTAAGGGAAAAACAAGAGTTGGAGAGGGCAGCCAACCACTTGGAGGGTGTCAAAGTTCATCTAAGATACTGGTCCCAGACAGCAGCATGTCCTCAGACAAACAGACTCCCTCTAAGACCCCTGATGTCTAGCCTAGGGCCTAGGATCAAACCTTTAACAAACTTGCTTGCCTTCTGGGAAACAAAATTGGAAGCAGGCACCCTAACATCAGTGAAAATAGCTCACTCCAAGACAGAGCAGAGGACCCCAGGGAAGGTTACAGTGATGCTGTCCTCTGTTTCCTAGCATTCTCCACTCCAAAAGACCCTTACTGACTTAGAAAGTTTTATCCAAGTGTCTGGAAATCAAGGTGGTGGTGGTGGTAGCCATGTGTTGGTCATGAGTGACAGGTGCAGGGAACTGTCTGTGGCATAGGTAGGTTGTCCCAGTGAGTCCTAGCCAAGACACTGAAAGACCCTTGCAGTCAGCCAAGACTGAACCGCAGAAAAGAGGAATCTGAGAGAGCCAGGCACCAACTATCAAGGGGCCAGGTGTAGCACACAGTTAGCAGGGCACCTGCCTCGTCGGTCTAACCTACTGAGTCATGGGTATTTCTGAAGTAAGCCACACTTTCAAGGGAGGCGCTGAAGCCAGGTCTCTGACCTCAGAGTAGCTGCCAGCTGCCAAGCATAGCCCCCAAGATGTTGGCCATGAGGAGAAATTAGCTCCTATCACTAGAGCACTGTCCTCTAAGGAGTCAACACTGATCATGGGGTGTGGTCTACAGTAAAGGAGAAACCTCCCTATGGCAAGACCCCCGTGGTGATGGTAGATGAGATTCTGAGCTCCAGCCCTCCCAAGTTCACCTTCCCTGAGGCCGGCCTGCGCATCATGATCACCAACAAGTTTGGACCCAGGACCCGACTACGGATGGCCAGCAGGATCATAATTAATGAGGTAAGTTAACCCATGACTCAGGTACAACCTGTAACCCTCAGACAGCACATGGCGAAGAGCAGCTAAGAATGCAACCAACACAAATTGTAACCTTGCTCAAAACATGATTTTTTTTTTTTTTTTGTAACTCAGTTTGTATAGTTCTCAAGCATGAACTTTGCAGATTACAAGACCATGTTGCAGGGTCAAAAGATTGAGCACACTGGCTAGCCAGAAAATGAGTGGCCTTGCATGGCTCTAGCAGTTCCACTGCCCTATCCCTTAGGACTCTTCCTGGAGTCTCTGGCCTGAGAGGAAGGAAGGGTGGGGGCCAGCAGAGGCGAGCCATGGGAGTTTAAGCAGAAAGTGGAGGAGCCCCACGCCTGAGGTATTTCACTATTTGTCAGTTGCTAGAATTGAGCTAATTAGGGAAAGGGGAACCTGCAGTATGGGAGGTTTCTTCACAGTGTTAATTGGAGAACCAAGCATGAACACATTCCTGTTCTCTGTGGACTATGACCCTTGAAGAATCTCCAGGTGTCTTAGTGTTTTCTTGCTGTGCACCATGACCAAGGCAATTTATAAAAGGAAGCATTTAATTGGAGGCTCGCTTACAGTTTCAGAAGGTTAGTCCATCATCCTGGCAGGGCGTGTGGCAGAAGGCAGGCAGGCATGGTGCAGGAGAAGCAGCTGAGAGCTTACATCCAATCCACAAGTTGCAGGGTAGCAGGTGCCAGGCAGAAGGAGGGAGACAGACAGAGACAGACTAGGCCTGGTGTGGGCTTCTTAAACAGCCATATTTATTTATTTATTTATTTATTTATTTTGCCATGGGTCACAAGTCACAGCATAACGGGGGAAGGGGCTCCTGGAGGCAGATTCCCTCCTAACACAGCAGGGGATTGAACAGCTTGAAGGGGTGGGGGGAACCCAGCTCCAAAGTCCCCCCACCCAGCACTTTTCTTTAAGGCTTCTACATTCTTGGGGTCAAAGCTCACCCCCAGTGATACTTTGGGATCAAAGCCCATCTCCAAAGCCCACACCTCCTGCAACAAAGCCACAACTCTTAATCTTTCCCAAGCAATCCCACTTACTGGGCACCAAGCATTCAAACACATGAGTCTATGGGGGCCATTGGCCTTCCAACCACCACGCTGGTGTTCTGGGTGTCTCCTCATAGGAAAAAAGCCGTCATAACTTGTTTATCACCCAACCAGACTGCAAAGATAATACGGTGTATTGCTCAGCAGCTTAGCCTGTTTCCAGGCCTTGTTTTCTAAGTGCATTGTAGGACTTGTCGGCCTCTTTTTCAGAAACATGCAGCGGTCCAAGGACCGAGGCAGTGGGACTAAGCACATGGTGTCTGCAAAAGCATGATTTCCCAGTGACTTAAGGTTCTCTCTTTGGGACACTTGTGCATTGATTTATGGTTCAATGTGTGTCATATTGTGGAAAGTACATTAAGCAAGAGAAATGCCTTTCTGGGCTTTAAATCATCCTGGTCTATATTAGTGAAATTTATTTCAGGGAAATTGTATAGAATTCTGCCCAGCTGTCATAAGCATGAAAATACTATCCACAGGTTGCTGCAGGGAGTGTGGGAAATAACCCTGGAAGATTGGGGCAATGGCTTTACAGTGTCTTTTATCACACATGGACTCAAATGTTGGTTTGTTTGAGAAATCTAGGCTGGTCCTGACTTCACGATGTGGTCCAGGCTGGCCTGGAACTCAGGATCCTTGGGCTGGGTTTACAAGTGTACCACACCAGGCTGGAGTGGCGGGTTTTGATGAGCTAGTGAATACCAGTTGTTGGGACCACAAATGTTTTCAGCTGCTGGGGTTTCCCTGCTCTGTAAGGCAGCCTGAGAGCCACAGAGGCTGGACCCAAGAGAAAGGAAGTGAGTTCTAATCTCACTCCTTCCACTAAATTTTTCAATCTCCTTGGCCTCCCTTCCTGTCTGAGGTTCCTAGACAGGATGCTTCCAGCCTTAAAATTTTCATTAGAGAATTGCACCTGAGGCCTAAGCACAGTCATCATAGGATGGAAAAGTGCAGAACAAAACCCACAAAATATCCAGGTTCAAACTTATGTATTGAGACGCTCTGAGGAAAGAGCTTGGTCAGTAAGGTTCTTGTCTCGAAAGCATAAAGACCTGAGTTCAATCCTCGGAGCCCACCCTTAAAAAGCCAGGCCTGTTGGCATGTACTTGCAATCCCAACACTGAGGTTCCATTTCAAATAGAAACAGCAGACAGCTCTTGAGGTTAAGCCATTGTCCTCCACATGGGTGGTCACCTGTTGCATGCACACTTACACATTTATACTTGGATATACACACCTGCATCTGTATGTACACATGTAAACACACTCACAGTCATCCACACATGCCTGTATGCACATATGTGACACTGTGGTCTCTTTTCCTCAGTCATTTTAAAGATTGTTTTTTAATTTTTATTTTTAATTATGCACATGTGTGGGGGTGGAGTGTTATCCTTCATTGATTCTGCAAAGCCAGAACTATAAACCTCCCCCAATCATCACCTTCATCCTACTGTGGATCGATGGGCCTGTTTTATAATTCTGTCTCTGTGGAAATAGGTCTTTTCATATTTAGTTTTGTTTGTTTGGGGCTTCATGGGTGGCTTTGCATTTAATCCCAGCTAACTAACCAAATATTTCGTGTCTAGGCCTGACTGTCAGACAAAGGCCCCTTTGCTTTTTTTGGTGGGCTAAGTGTTAAGGACTGCTTGTGGAAAAAAGTTGAGAAGTACCCCTCATCCCAACACCCAAGCACGTGCGCACACACACACACACGCACACAGTTTTTCAAGGTTTAGGAGTCTGTCTCAAACCTACATGAAGACAGCTCAGCAGCCTGCAGAGCAAGGTGAACCTTCATTGTGAGTGGTAATGACCCCCCATGAGACCACCAGGATGGGTTCTGGGCACCCCATTATGGAAGTTTGCTGAGGGCCACAGCTCTGTCCCCAAGTCTCTTACTGAAGTGGTAGGGAAGACTTGAAGGTTACTGTGGAACAGCTATGACCCACGGGGCTGATCTATAAGCCATGACTGGGAACAAGGTGAAGAGAGCTGAATGGAGATAGGTTCTAGAGAATATGAGGCCTGACGTTTCTTCATTTTTTTTCTTTTCTTTTTTTCTGTTAAGATGGGGTTTCTTATAGCCCAAACTGACCTCAAACTTACTAGGCAGCTAAGCATAATTCTTGACTGTGATCCTACTGCCCTAAAGCCTCTAGTCTCCAAGTGCTGGGACTCCAGGCATTTGCCACCAAGCCCTGTTTATTCAGTGTGGGATTCAAACCCAGGACTTCAACCTCAGCCCTGTTGATTTCATATATGTCTTCTGTCCATGCCTGGGTTCAAAGAAGCCCCTGACCAAGCAAGCGCAGCCAGGCTAGGGTGGCACCAAAGTTGCTTTTGCCATTTTGGCAAAGGGTAGGAAGGAAGGGGATGGGTTTGGTGCAAGCTGCTGGCTTTGGAGAACACATTCATCAGATATGGAATGAAACTCAGAGGGACAACCCATTGACCAACAACCTAGAAAGATGTTTGGAGCACTGGCTGTTGGAGAAAGGCTGACCCAGAGTGGTTCAAATGGAAAGGACCAACCACAGCAAGTGTTGGCAAGGATGGGAGGCAAGTGATGGCTGCTGTTATGAGCTGGGAGAATGTAAGAAAGATGGCATTGCATGGTTCTGTGTCACCCAGCTTGGTGTCTGTCTTGCCTCCTGTCCCCACAGCGACAGAGGTTGATCAACTCGGCCAATGGTGTTAATAGCAAGCCACTGCAAAATGGGAGACACGAGAACATGGAGAATGGAAATGTCCCTGGGGAGAACCCTGAAGACCCACAGCAGGGCCAGGAGCAGCAGCCACCACCGCAGCCACCACCCCCAGAACCAGAGTCAGTAGAGACAGTCTTCCTGTCCCCCTTCTCAATGCCTGGTGAGTCTGGGGGTGCTGGCCCTCTAGCCAGGCTTCTGTGGGTGCCATTGGGACCATGCCTAGGTCTTCAGGATGGAGGCCCTGACTCTGCAGTGGTAGAAGACTGATAGGGAGGGCTGACATTAGGTCACTAGGGTGCCCTAAGGCACTGGCTAAGCATACAGTCAGTATTAGATGTAAGAACTGGGTAGATGCAGACACTGCTGAATGTGGCCCTCAGAAAGCACCAGTAACTCCTAGTGACCACACTTGAATGCTATGGGCAGCTGGTCTGTCTTACAATAAAAAATCAGCAACCAGTCATACTGTTTCTATAGACACTAGTGAGCTGGGGTGGGGGTGGGGCTGCAAGCACCCATGCATTGATGCAGAGGTCAGAAGAAGGTGGTATCGGGTGTCCTGCTCTACCACTCTCCATTTTATTCCTTTGAGACAGGGTCTGTCACTGAATCTGGAGCTAGGCTGGTGGCCAGCAAGCCCCAGTGATCCTCCTGTCTCTGCCTCCCATAGCACTGGGCTTACCGGGTCCTACCGCAGCACCTGGATTTTGATATAGGTGCCGGGGTTTCAAGCTTAGATCTTCCAGCTTGCATGCAAGCATGCTTACCTGCTAGGCCATCTCTGTGATCTCTATGGACATCCTTACCCCCTTGCCCTTCACTTTCATAAGCAGGACACTTTTGTCCACATGTGACCTCACTCCTAGCTAGGATTGTTTAAGGTCAAACTGCTGCTTACATGGTTTCACCAGACGCATCTGGATGCACTTCTATAAATAGTCAGGTCAGGCCACAGGCTGCCTCGGGTCCACGAGCATCCTCTCTTTCTCTGTCTCTCTGTCTCTCTGTCTCTCTGTCTCTCTGTCTCTCTGTCTCTCTGTCTCTCTGTCTCTCTGTGTTTGTCTCTCTTTCTCTGTCTCTCTCTGTCTCTCTCTCTGTCTCTCTCTGTCTCTGTCTCTCTCTGTCTCTCTCTGTCTCTGTCTCTCTCTCTCTGTCTCTCTCTGTGTCTCTCTCTCTCTCTAGGGTCATCCAACTGCTGGGTCCTTGGTGAATCTACCTGTTCTTTTTTCTCTGGTATCCTCAGCTCCAGTCACACTGGCCTCCTCACTGCCATCCCTCAAACACACTGCACACACTCCTCCTACCTTGGTACCTTCGCACTGCCCTCTGCAGGAATGCGCTTGACCGGTTATCCACATAACTTTCTCTCTTGTCTCTATTCCAGCGTCACGGTATCAGTATGATCTTCCTACTTATTTTAAGATTATTGTTTTTATTTTATGTGCATTGCTGTCCCATCTGCGTATATGTCTGTGTAAGGGTGTTGGATTCCCTGGAACTAGAGTTACAGACAGTTGTAAGGTGCCACATGGGTGCTGGGAATTGAAACTGGGTCCTCTGCAAGAGTAGTCAGTGCTCTTAACCACCGAGCCATCTCTCCAGCCTCACCCACATATACACACACACACCTTATTATAAATGCTTTATATACTTTTTTTTATCTGAGTGTCTGCCTTCACTAACTTCACTAGCAGTTCCTTAGGGACTGGCATCTTTGTCTGTTTGACTTACTTCTGTATCCCTGTACCATGTCTGCACACTTGGAAACCAATTGAGTGAGTAAACTCAAGAGTTTGCCTGTGAGAGGATCCAGAACGTGCCCTGTATTGTTCGTTGTACTCAGCCTTCCATGAACTCTCTCCTGTCCCAGGTGGGACCCAGAGTCTTAAGCACTGGGCTCTGTTCCTGGGTATTCTGTCCTGTTGCCCACTGTCCTAAGAGGCAGCAGGATTCTGGAACTTTCCAATAGAAGGCTTCATATTGTACTAATAACAATTCTATGCTTAACACCTCACTCACTAAGTACCTGCCCTGCTTTGGCCCCATCTGTGTAGATACCCTGGGCCTGCCAGTCTGGGACCCTGGGCACTGTGTCTGGAGATGGAGGCTCTCCTGGGACCATGGACTTCCTTGGAGTTTCTGGATTAGAAAGCCTCCACTGTGTGTGCCTCCAGGGTGAAGTCAGATTTTTCTTTGGGCCACCAGCTCACAAATAATGACATGGAGACTTATTAATTATGAAAGCTCAGCCTTGGCTTAGGCTTGTTCTGCTAGTTCTTTTAACTTAAATTAACCCATTTATTTTAACCTATGCACCATCACATGGCTGGTTACCTCATCTTTCTGTACTACCCATGGCAGTGATTCCACCTTCTTCTTCCAGAGTTCTCTCTCTGCCCAGAAGTGCCACCTATACCTTCTGTCTGGCTATTGGCCATTCAGCTCTTTATTAAGCCAATCAGAATATGCCTTGGCAAAGACCCATCTTTACAGTGTAAACAAATATTCCAAAACACCAGAGCTCTTCTTCAAACTCAGGCCCTAGCTCCAAGCCTGGAACAGGGCCTGAAGGGCACATGTGTTCACGATTCTCTGGGCTATTCTGGGGATTTGTCTGGGTTAGGAATTGTTAGACCTGATCAAACATCTTTTTTTTTTCTACACCAAAGATAGACCCCAAAAATGAAATCTTCCCCTTTACTGAGGTCTCTGGGGAGATCAGTCCTGGGATTTAGCCTTTCCAGGCCCCTCTGCTATCCAGATAACTTAAAGGAATTGGTGTCTGGATCACTGGTGATACAACTCTGCATTCCTGCATCCCTGTGGGACCACACACTTGGTATGCTCAGCCCCTTTGGCTGGCCAGGGTGAAAGTCGCATTAATTTGGTAGGAGTTGTCCAAATTAATGAGTTATATGGGACCCTGAAATCCAAAAGGAGGGGTCCTCTCCAGATCCAGGGTCCTCATACTAAGGTCCCTGTTAGGACATGCTGATGAGGATGGGGGCCTTCCATAGAACAGGAGCCTAGGAGAGCAGTCCATCCTCCCAGAGACAGCTCCAGGGCCAATAGACCAGAATGAGCCCTGGGTTTATAAGAGACAGAGCCACAGGCCTTGAGTTTCACCCTGGGTGCCCATTTACAGCCCTGTGTCACCCCACCACCAGCCCCAATCGTTTCCGTGCCTGTGACAATGGTCCCTTAGTCACCTATGTGCATGGTCTCCAGCTCTGAGAGATGGGTATGGGTAGCTCTGTGCTTCCCTCTACCACTCCCCACTGGCCACTTCATTGATATCCTAGTCCCAAGATGTCCAGGAGGTTACTGAAGTGACACATGAGCATCAGCTCTTGCTCTGGAGAGTCAGGCAGCCCCTAGGAAGGATGACTCGTTTCTGTTTCCTACAAGCATCGAATGTGGCAGGAGTAAGTGGAACAGCCCCTGGGACCTCAGGGATAGAGCTGTGGGGAGTCTCTGGGTGGGTCCCTACATAGCATGATGCTAGAGCAAGGAACCGCCCCACCCCCAGCTGCCTTCCAGCTAACTGCCTGAGCCCTTCGAGGAGCTCTGACCTTCCTCTGTAGTTGGCCCACCTTCTTTCTTGGTTTCAGGATGTCCTGGGGTGTGGCCCTGACCTAGCCAGGAACAATAGCTTCCTCAGCTTCCCCTCGGTGCTGGCTCCAGGCTCAGGATCCAGCCTGCTTCCCATATCCAGGGAAATCTCCCTTTGTGTAGCAGGGATGTTTACGGGGTTGCCTATGGAAACTATAGTCCCTCTTCCTCCTCCCTGGGAGCAGAGTAGCCATGGAAACAGTACAGGGTGGTTGGTGGATGTCCCTCTAGGTGTGGACAGTGACCTGGGTCAGGGAGTAGAGGTTGAGGTTCACAGGAAGTTAAAGGAGGCCAGTGAGTACCACACCCATGGCCTTATTTCTAGGCCTTCCTGGCCTCCATTCAGTTCGGCTCTGCTGGTTTCACAGGACTAGGGCCTGTGGTAGCTCTGAGATGTCTCTTAGGGGTCCATGAGGCTGCTGCTCCCCCCACCATGGCCCTTTAGGAATACCAAGAACTAGGATCTTTGGAAAAAGAAGATGCTGTCCCTGCGGCCAGCTTGGAAGCCCTGTGGCTCTATCAAGGGCTCAAGATTGGTGCGAGCCACACCCATGCTGGTGCTTTTGTGTTGTTTCAAGCAGGCTGGGGGCAAGCTCTGGAGTCTGGGGGCCCTGACCCTGGGCCACCTGCTCACTTCCCCCACCCTCACCCATGCGGTAGAGTGCTGTATCCTAACAGTTCGTATGATAATATCATCAGGCCTTGCGCTGTCTAATGCATAGTAGGCACTCTAAGAATTTATGTGGACTGCAACATGCTTCATCCACATAGTGTGTGCTGTACCCAGCTTCCATCCACCCTGACTGGACCACAGATGTTCTAGAAAAGTCACAGGCTCAGGAATCCCTGTGGTCCTGGGCCTGCCCCCATTTTGAAAGTCAAAGGAAGGATATAGCCCATGCTGAGTACCTGTTACATGCCAGCCACTGGGCTGTAAGCAGTTTGCAGTTATTCTCCTAGTCAGTCAATATCCGGGCACTAGCCTATTCTGTCCTAGGCTACAGTTTGGGACAGGGCAGGCTATGATCACTCTTCCCTAGGATCTTCTAGGCTCACCAGACAAATCTGACCTAAAACGTCCAGACTTTTTTTTTTAAAACTGGGCAGTTCTTATGAATTTTATAGATAGCAGCACTGTGTTACTGTGCCGCACACACACACAAAAAAGAATCCGTGTGTGTGTGTGTTGTGTGTGTGTGTGTGTGTGGTGGTGGTGGTGGTGGTGGTGGTGGTGGTAGTGGTGGTATAAGTGATGGGCTCTAGGTTAGACATCCCTGAAATTTAATGTATGGCCCAAGAAAATTCTACCTGATCTACTATGACCTAAGGGAGCCAAAAGGCTGGCCACACATACTCTCCTTCCCTCACTATAGCTGTCCAGAACAGGGGACAGAGGCCCTACTTTGACCATCCAAAAGCTAAGGCGGTAATGCCCAAGCCTCCCCATAACCTGGGCCCACCTTGCTGGCACTGGTTTCCTCTTCCCACCCTGGCCCCCAGAAGCTTGGGTGTGGTCTCCCAGGGAAGAGGTGAATCATTGCCTCTTGT